AAAAAATGTACTGGCAATCCATACATGGTGCTGTGTACATACTAAGGCTGGTCGTGCTCACATGCAAGCTGTGAGTCTGGTTTCTTTATTTTCATTCTATCTAATTTTACCGCTTTGTCTCCTTTTTTTTTGGATGTGAAGGGCACTACATCCGCAAGGAACACAGAAATACCAGTCTACTCCCCTCAATAACAGTCGGAACCGTGCCCAATTATCAAACTAAAAGCAACACTAATGAAGACCGTCAGAATCCACCACAAGCTGCAGGTACTATTGCACTGTCAGAAAACACTAGATCAAATCTCAGCCTTCCTTGGCCTGGGCTCAAGAACCAGGAATCCCCCACACCGGTAAGCTTCAGTTTATCCCTGTAGAAACAAGCTGATGTTAAATTTTTATAGCTACATGCATTGGACCTTCTACATTTGCAAACAAATTCTCCAACAATAAACTATCCTTTGTCTGATATCAGCATCCCCCAAACACCTCAATCCCACCTGGCCCATTTAGCCCCAGAAGTCTTGACCTTGGCTGATATGACTGGTACTAGTCATAGTAGCGGGCATTCTAGTTATGCTCATATTAGCCATAGAAACACAATTTTTGTGTATGTTAATGGATCCAAACACGGGATAAATGACTGGTGTTAGTAGTTTTCCCCTCATTTGAGCAATAGGACACTGATGCTATTGTTTTCATAGGTTTTGCGACAATCTGAGCTTTGACCTCCTCTATCCTCCTCCAGAGGGGCTGCATCATGATTCTTGAGATGTATGGCTGAGAATGTACAGCGTGTAAGTTCTGTTTCTCATTTATTTTTCTCTGAATTTACATCTTACAGGCCAAGCAGATGTCTGTCAAGGCCAATTGTTGGTTTATTTTAGTTGCTCAGCACCCTATTGCGCAGGCCCAGTTCATCTATCACACATCTCCCCACTTGTGACGCAACGGACTGGATGACACAAATGATTTAATTAATATTTTTTCTAATATTATTACAGGCTTGTTTCAGGCTTGACGGAAGGACACTTTGGAGATGTCTCAGAAACTCCATGAGGTGAACAAGTCCAGAAGGAAGGCGCAGGCAGATGCAGAAGCATCTTGGTTGATGTTGTCACAGCAGCAGGAGGCACTAGCCCAGCAAGAGCCTCTGATTGCCCAGTATAGAGCAAGAATTGGGGTGTAATAAAGACCTACATCAGCCCGTAATATATACTAATAATGTTGGTCATACCTTTGTCATTTCAGATGCGTGAATCAATGAAATTAGTAGATCACTAACTCATTGCCAATACAGCCACACGTGAGATGCCTTGGACCATTCCATCAAGGTCCAGATGCCAATCTTCCCCATCAATACATCTATGGACAGGTTGTGCGACAACTGCAATGATCTTGACAGTGGATTCAATAATGTGATTGGTAGGCAAGTCCTGATTGCAGTAATGCATGTTCTGATCAGATCTGGAACATCTTCATCTTGCAAACAGCTGATAAAGAAATACTCACCCATTAAACCAATAGACGCCTCCGCTCTTTGCAGACTTAAGTTCACACAAAAAGTACATGCAAGCATAATTGAGTGAATAAACAAAGAGCAAAGAGGGAAAAAGCACCTGCTGCTCCTCCGAATGCAACATTCCCTGCAAACCATCACTAATAGTCTGCTGATTTTTAGAACCTGAACTTGAACCTGAAGTAGTCATCTGTTGAAAAGGTGAACAAGTGTTATGACAAGCTATTTAAACTTCGCTTACTGGATGGAAAATTAAGGGCCAGAGTAAATGAGTAGGAAAGTATCTGATCACATTGACTATGTTTTCTCACCACAATAACACCATTCTCTCTCATGCTTGTATGTGTGGGCAAGTGCATCAGCAATGCCCTTGTACAGTGTATCCAGACGCCCATGTCAATCTGATCAGATATTGACCTACCATCTCATCCTGTGCAATTTCAGACAGCTGAACTTGGATCCCATAGGCCACTTGTATGGAGTGGTCCCTTGAAGTGCTTGATGGATTGGCTTCAGGCACCAAGTTACATACTGCACCGTTGATTTCACACAAGGAAGTGCAATCAAGGATCTGCACAATAAAATAGACAAAAAACTGATGAAGGGAAGGTCAAATGGAATTGCACAATAAGTGGCAAGTGATACATAGTTGAACTGGTGTACTGGAAAGCTGACTGGTGCAAGCTGGAATGCTCAATGATTGCAGTGTGATTTATCAGGCTACATGACAGAAAATAATATGGTGTTAAGTGAGTATCATCACAACGGTCTAGGCCATTTACTGTTTCACAAAATTGGCCGATGTGTGTGCCTCTTCATTCTCTAAGCCTTGTTGAATTTCAGCTATCAATGTGTTTGGAATTTCAGCTATCAATGTGTTTGAAATTTCTGCTGGACACTAACCCAAACCAACTATCTGGCCTCTTTGCCATCTGCTACTCCTGAATGAAAGCCATATCAACAGCTTCTGCAATGTCTGAAGACTTGTAAGTCGGCTTATGGCTCGGGGACCCATCTATGGGTTGTACAGTCCTGTAAGCACCAGCATGAATTTACAAGGCCTGATGTCTGAAGACCAATTGGCCATTCACAAACTCACCTCAAATGACCAATTATGCATCTGCTAGTATACAGTACATAAAAAAAAAACATCCTTACAATTTTGGATTAACA